AGAAAGGATTGGCCCTCCAACTGGCCCACCAACACTGCAGATAACACGCTGCAGGGCCTGGGGATGGTGTCAGCTCCTCAGGTTAGTGCTTCAACCCTGCTCTGGTGCGATGAGGAGGGTCATCAGGGCCATTTCCAACCATTTGTGTTGCAGTTGCCAGTGTCTCTATGGGGAAGGGACATCCTCACTCAGATGGATGTCACGCTTACGTCAAACTGCTCCCCCCAGGCTAAGGATATACTCAGGAACCAGGGATATACCCCCGGCAAAGGCTTGGGCAATGCCCTGCAGGGTCGGACATCCCCAATACCAGTAGAGAACAAAAAAGGTAGGCAAGGGCTGGGTTTTTCTTAGGGGCCGCTGAAGAAGCTCTCCTACCCACTTCGATCAAAATCACCTGGAGGTCAAATGATCCGGTTTGGGTACCTCAGTGGCCCCTGCCTAAGGAGAAGCTATTAGCCTTGTCAGAAATAGTCAGTACACAGCTTAGATTAGGACATATTAAGCCGTCAACCTCCCCATGGAACACCCCCATTTTTATAATTAAGAAAAAGTCTGGCAAGTGGAGGCTGCTCCATGATCTAAGGGCGGTCAACGCGCAGATGCAGCCCCTGGGGGCGGTCCAGAGGGGGCTGCCGGCTCTCTCAGCCATCCCTCAGTCCTGGCCAGTTTATGTTATAGACCTTAGAGACTGTTTCTTCTCAATTCCCCTGCACCCAGAGGACACTCATAGGTTCGCCTTTACTTTGCCCACCATTAACCAAGAAAGCCCTGATCTCAGATACGAGTGGGTAACGTTGCCCCAAGGTATGGCCAACAGTCCCACTATGTGTCAGATTTACCTTGATTCCCTACTGGCCCCCCTACGGAAATCCTTTCCCAAGATAAGATGTATGCATTACATGGACGACCTTTTGCTCAGCGGCAGGGACCCAGACATGCTAAATAATATGCTCAGCCAGTTGGTCGAGGCCCTGAGACAAGCTAATCTGCATGTTGCCCCCGACAAGATTCAGGGAGGAGAAATGGTGACCTACTTAGGCGCGAAAATCTCCCCTATGCTAGTCTCTCCACAGAAGGTCACCATTAGGACGGATGGCGTTAAGACCCTAAAGGACATGCAAAAGCTATTGGGAGACATTAATTGGATTAGGCCATATTTACATATACCAAATTCAGATCTCAAACCCCTGTTCGACCTTCTGAAGGGAGACCCAGATATAGCCTTCCACAGGAGGCTCACTCCTGAGGCAGGAGCTGCCTTACAGAGAGTGGAAAAAGCCTTAGGTGGGGCTACCTTACACAGAATTGAACCAGGGCGACCCTTTGATGTCTGTTTGCTACAGACTAGTCTACAGCCCACAGCGGTGATTTGGCAGAAAGGACCATTACTGTGGATACACCCTAAGGTCTCACCTGCAAAAGTCATAGAGCATTACCCGGAGGCAGTCGCTTCATTGGCCCTTAAAGCGCATGATAGAGCTGTCCAACATTTTGGCTCAGGACCACAAGCCATCCGAGTACCCTATACCGCCAGCCAGATCAAGACCCTGGCTGCCTGCATAGATACTTGGGCCATTCTGAGATGTGTTTTCCATGGGGATATAAACAATCAATACCCTAAAGACCCTATCTTGTCATTTGTCACTCAGCATCCTATAATTTTTCCAAAGGTTACTGCCTCTGAGCCATTAGTCCCAGCAACTACAATATACACAGATGGCTCCAAGACGGGGATAGGCGCCTATGTGATCCTAGGCAAGCCCCCGGTTACCATACAATTTAAACCAGATCAGCCTCAGGTGGTGGAACTGCAGATCGTTAAAATGATTCTTGAACGGTTCTCAGAAGCCATTAATATTGTCTCCGATTCTAGGTATGTGGTCAATGCTATGCAAGTGCTTGAGACTGCCAGTTTAATTAGATCCACTTCCACAGTGGCTGGACTGTTCCTGTCTATCCAGACATTGCTTCAGAACAGACACCATAAGGTCTTCACCACCCACATAAGAGCACATACATCCCTGCCAGGGCCCATGGCACAGGGGAATGCGGCTGCTGATACTGCCACTCGCCCGTTATGGATTTTTACCTTACTAACACCAATCGAGCGAGCCCGTGCCTTCCATGATAAGTTTCATGTTAATGCCAGGACACTAGCAAACCATTTTCATGTTTCCAGAGCAGATGCACGAGATATCGTGCGACTATGTGACTCCTGTGCCACATACAAACCTGCCATACCGATGGGAGTAAACCCTCGAGGTTTGATCCCTGGTGATGTTTGGCAGATGGACATCACACATATACAGGAGTTTGGGACTCTTAAATATGTTCATGTTTCCACAGACACCTGTTCTCACGTCATATTCGCAACAGCAGAAACAGGTGAAAAAGTGTCTAATGTGATCAATCATTGCCTGGCGGCTTGGGCCGCATGGGGCAAACCAAAAATATTAAAAACTGATAATGGACCAGCCTATATAGGCAAAGCCTTCAATGAGTTCTGCAAAATGATGGAGGTTCAATTAAAACATAGTATCCCATACAATCCCCAAGGTCAAAAAATCATTGAGAGGGCTCATAAAAGCCTCAAAAAAATTTTACAAAAACAAAAAGGGGGAGTAGGCCAAGGCCTGGCCCCAAAGGCACGATTATCCATGGCACTATTCACACACAATTTTTTAAATTTAAATAATGATAATCGCTCCCCAGCTGTAGAGCACTGCAACCCTTCCCCCAACCATAAAGGGTGGGTAAAGTGGAAAGATGTCCTGACAGGACAATGGATGGGCCCGGATCCAGTGGTCAGCTGGAACCGAGGCGCGGTTTGTGTTTTCCCACAGGAACCGGGACGAGAACCACTGTGGATACCGGAGAGACTGACACGGGCAACAAAGCCCTCGACTGAAGATCAGACCTGCCCTACCGGAGATCCATCACAGACCAACCAACAAGATGAATAGAAATAGCGGTAGCCCGAAATGGACAAGAAGATTCTCAGGCATATGCATGGCTCGCTCGCCTAGCCTACGACCGAGTCTAGGGGTGGTGAGCTTCCCACACTCCTCCTCTAAAAAATTATGACATAGCTGGGTAGGAGAGTCAATGACGGGTAAGAGCGTACTCCCCCGGTGCGACTCAACCTAAGCCAGGCCCTACCCCATCCTGCACGTAAGCCGCTGGACTGTTAGATGCTGCCCAGGTCTAAATTTCTCTCCGAGGGGATTTCTTTACGGAGAGGAAATGAGTGCAAGCTTGTGTGCATCCAGGTTCCGTCCAGTTTGTGCCTGGCCCTAGAAAAAGGACGAGGGCCTCAGGGCCTTGGCAGACCATGGGACGGCCGACCAGGGTCTAAGCCAAGGACCTACGGTGGGCCTACGCATAGGGCATAAGCCTCTGCACCCAGTCCAGGAAGGGCTACGATGCGCACATTCATAAAAAATAAAATAGGGGGAGATGTTGGGAGCCGCGTCTGTGATAGCTCGCCTTGCGCGGCGGACGTGCGGCCTGTAGTAAAGAGTGAAGCCTGAGGTAGATTACCCCTCCCATCGAGCACGTTAGTTTCCTGCTTACCGCGTAAGCAACCCGCTCAACAATATAGTCTGCCTGGCAACTGATGATGTTAGCCAATCAGCTTGCCTTGCTTACTTTAACATGATTGGACACTGTATCCGTATATATACTGGTGCCACCCCTGGGGGGGAAGAAGAAGCCCGGAAGTAGAAGCCCAGAAGGAGCCGCGGGGAGCGGACCAAAGGAGGCTTCGGCTGGGAGTGATCCCAGGGCAGGCTGTACGGAGAAGGAAAATAAAAGAAAAGGTTGTCCACTGCCAGACTTTGTCGTGTGTCCTTCCTGCCGGCCGGGAGCGACATCGACAAATATCTAATGAGATAGACAATTCTTTTTAAGGAAACAAGAGACAACGTTGATAACGATTGTTAATAACCTTGTACTCTGTTCTACACCATGTGCTATGTCTATCCTTGGTTTTGACTGATAGCTTTGTTTTTCCATATTTGACTTTATTCTCCCCCCCCCAAAAAAGTAATAAGAACTAAGGAGTAATAAAATCCAAAATGTGTAAATTTTGTTGTAAAAAAGAGAGGGAGGAAAAAAAAAAAGAGCTCTAACGGATATAACAGCAAGTGTGTTTAGGGGTGTTAAATAGCTGACTATATTAATGTTTTTGGATCATTGAACACAGCTGTTTGCAGTCTCTCTGTTTGAATGTCTACTTTGTATTCTTTGATACTGTGATTTGAGCAACTATTTCCAAGATGATAATATGTAATCTATTAACAGGTGATTTCTTACTGTTATGTTTTTTTTTTTTTTTGTAGTTCTGTATTATGTGTAACCTTACACTGCTTTGTTTTGTTTTAAAAATCCTCCAGATGCAGAGTGTGGCCACTGTCCATAGTCCACGCTGCCTGTGTCCCCTGGGATGCCCGGCCAGTGGGCATTTTGGCACTACTCCAGAAGGGCCTCCTCATATGTTTGCACCAGGCCTGCAGCTGAGGACACCCAGTGAGATGCAAAGCGAGGGACAGGATGCTGGGCTTTGGTTCTGGTGGGCCCGGGATTCCACCCTGGGCTCTACCTGTTCCCAGACTGGCTCAGACTCTGCTTCCATTGCCCCAGTCCAGTGTCCCCCATGGCCTGCAGCACCTGGCGAGGCCTTGGTATCAGGCTAGGTCACTTGGACAAGCAGGCCAGGCAGTGTGGGCAGAAGCCCACACACTGTGTGTCTGAACACAAGGAAGCAATGCCTCACCCAAACCTGTCTGGTCCTGCACCTCCACCACATACCTCCTGGTGTCCCTGATGTCCAGGATGGGGTTGTAGCTTATAGGTTCAGGTGGGGACAGCAGAGTGGACTGGACTCTCATCTGCCTGCCCTGTCTGTTGCCCTTTGCCCATGTGGTGAGGTACATGCAGGACAGGGTAGACACACAGCACCCACTCTCCCTGAAGTAGTGCCCCACTGCCCTGGGTACCTGGACAAGGCTTGAGGCTGGCTGGTTGCTCCGGTCCCGAAACAAGGGCTGAGGGTTGGGGCTGAGCAGGAGCTGGCATGCTGGGCTCCAGGCTGCTGACACAAGAAGAAACATTTGGTTTCAAGTCTGAGAAGCCTACGTGGAGACTCCTGTGGGTCTGCAGGAGGGTGGCTGTTTGGTCTAAGTGCCAGAGGGAGGGGAAACCTGAGCAGCCCTGAGTCAGAGGTGCAGAAACAGTGGGCTCTCCCACCCATGGTGGCTGGAGAAGCTGCCAAGAACTCAGGCCTGTTGTGTCCATCCCTGCTCTGAGCAGGGCCATAGCTGTCGGCCCCTCCCCGTAGGACTGCATCAGGGAGCCACACAGAGCTCAGGGGCCCAGGGAATGTGGGTGCCTAAGGAGAGCTGTGTATAACATAGATCAGGGTTGACGGTGAGCCCTGAAACTTAATCAGCAGTGAATATAGTAGCAGTCCAGGCCCCAACCTTGGGGCTGCATTCCTTTGGGACCCAGGCTTTCCCTTGTAGAATAACATCCTCTATTTATTCTAAATAGTGGTTCCTATCCCCATGGTACAGTGTCGCTTCCCAAGCTCCTGCCATCGCTCCCACATTGCCACATCACTTTCATATTCCAGCAGGGGAAAAAAGCGTAAGAAACTACATAACTTTCCTTTTAAGCTAAATCTCAGAAATCTTATCTGGCAGTTGTGCTGTCACCTCATTGTGCAATGTATGTGGTGACATCCAGCTATTAAGAGCTGGGAAGCATAGAAATTCATTCCAGTTAGCCAGAATCTCCTGTTAGCATTAGACCTGGGATTTGTACAATGTTGATGGAAGTTCAGAGACAATTGGCCACTCCACTCTATCCAGAGGCCAGAGAGGAAGAAAGGGAGGCCCGGCCTCGGGAAGCTGAAGCTGCAAATCAACCAGGCCAGGCTCAAGACAAGAGAGCGCCCGAGGCAAATCACGTGGATAAGCTGCTCTAATCTCAGGAGCACTGGGACCTGCGACAAGCCCTGCAGACAGGCTCCTCCCGGGAGCGAGGGGTCCTGTGACACTCAGCCTCCCGAGGGTATCGATAAATGCACTGCAGCCCTGGGAGCTCTCTTGCTCCTTCCTCTGACTTCTCCTCCTGCTTCTTCGTACTTCCCATCAGGGGACAGAGCTCCACATGGCCTCAGTGCTCTGCATTCTGACTCTTGTCCTTTTTTAGCCTCTTACCCTCCTCACCGTGGGAACATCAGGGGCCGCATGGGACGTGGCAATTGGCGCCTGAACAGGAACCCAGGGAGTGAAGGAACACAGGATAGCAGGTAAGAGAAGACTTCCAGCTGTGTGCACACAAAGAGAAACAGCTTCACAGAAGCCAAAGAGAGAGAGGTTTATTGATTGTATCAGATAGGTTCTCAAGAACAAGTACATATACAGATTCTGGCTTGATATGGACTCCTGTACTTACTTCTCTTTTGTGACCTGGATCAGGGAGTGTCTTAATGGTTGTGTGCTTACTGTGATGCCCACAGAGGATTCTACTGGGAGCACTGTTCTAAAACCAAGTCCTGAGGAGACAAAGAATAACAAGGGAACAGCCCTGCTGGCAGGGCTTGAGCCCTCTAGCTTTGCTCAGATAGGGAAGGAACAATGGGAGGCAAAAAAGAGAAGGTTTCACCTCAGCTTCAGCTCCACAACTCCCCAAGGCAAAACTGGTAACACTAACAACGTGCCTCAAGTGGCGGCTTTCACCTCCTTAGCTCAGGGAAACCTCATCACAACACAAGTCAAAACTTCCGCCTCTCAGGGAGTGGAACCATTCTCTTTCTCCCTCACAACTGGCGTTAAAAGAAGCTAGACGGCAGGGGAGTCCGTGGAGGGATCTCCACATGTCCACCCTATCACTGAAGTCCAAATCTCTAATAATCCAGCACAAGTCACATGTGTTCTTGAAGCCATATTTTTTTAAGACCCTAAACAAATTAAAACAAGCTATTGAGACCTATTATGCCATGGCCCCTTTTACCTTAGGTAATACAAGTTATGACCCCAAATGATTGGAAGGGAATAGCTAAAGCATGTTTAAGTCCGGGGATTGTTTATTGTGGAAGGAAATTTTTTTTGAATTGTGCATGAATAAAGCTGTTCCCAATGCTGCTAACAATGTAGCCAATGCAAAAGGTATGCTTACTGGAGTAGGTGCCTTTGTTAACAAAAACAATCAAATTACTTTTAAATTACAAGTATATGAACAAATTAAAATAGCTGCTGTGAGGGCTTGGCGGGAATGCCCTTCACAGGGTGACCTTGGTCTGACCTCTATCCACCAGAGGCCTGATGAAACTTCCCAGGATTTTGTGGCTGCCTATTACAGGCCAGTGAGAGGATTATCAACAATTCAGAAGCTAACAAATTAATTGTTCAACAGTTGGCCTTTGAGGATGCAAACCAACAGTGTAAAGAGGCCTTGGGAGCCCATAAGCAATGCGCTGCCCTGTCTGAGATGATACGGGTTTGTGCAGACATCGGCCCCTCATATGTACAAGAGGCTGCCCTAGCAGCAGCTGGCACTCAGGCTGTTCATCACAGCCTAGAGGAAACGGAGGTGACAAGGTTACTTGTTTCAGCGGCGGGTGTGGGGGACATTTTACCCAAAATTGCTCTGCTGCACTGGTAAGGACAACACAGCCATTGTTCATCCCTTCAACAAAACTGTCCAGGATCTGTACAAAGTGCAGGTGAGGTAAACATAGGACAAATGAGTGTAGATCCAGAACTGAGGTGGAAGGCTGACCCGCTCCAGGAAACCTCCAGTGCGGCCTGCCCTGGTCCTGCTAACTAGTTGGGGTGCTTTTCCTACTTCCTTACCAGCCCTCTCCACTGCCAACTATGTTTCTGACCTCTGGCAAGCGACAAAACACAGTGGATGCTTGGACCTCAGTCCCTCTTGCAGATTTGTACTAACTCTGAAGTGAACCCCCAGGCTATTTCTACTGGAATCTATGGGCCTTTGTTCAAGGAACAGTGGGACTCCTGCTAGGCCACAGGAGTCTCACCTTCAAAGGTCTGCAGGTTTTGCCTGGTGTCATTGGTGCTGATTATGCAGGGAAATCAGGTTATGGATCAAGATATTCACAACACTGTTCAGGTCACTCTAGAGCTCATATTGCTCAACTGGTCATTCTTCCTTGGACAAACATTGGAAAATCTATAAATAAGGAAAGAAGATCCAAGGGTTTTGATCTTCAGATGCTATTGGATTCAACAAATTAAACAAAATCACCCTGAGATGGAACTGATCATTGCAGGAAAAGCATTTATGGGCTTTAGACCCAGGTGCAGACGTTTTAGTTACTGCCCAAGGCCAGTGGCCTACAGCATGGCCCCTGGCAGTAGCAACTGCAGATCTGCAGGGGGTGGGCAGTGCTTCTCACGCTAAGTAGAAGTGCTCCATTGTTAACCTGGAGGGCTGCAGAAGGACATTCTGGACATTTCTCACCTTATGTCCTCCCCCATACACCAGTCAATCTGTGGGGCCATGATGTATCACAGGACATGGAGGCATTTCTGGTTACCCCAACTCTTTGGTAGCTCATGAGATTTTACAACAAGGTTTCCTTCCCACTCAAGGGCTTGGTAAAAACAATCAGAGAAGGAGATAACCTCTTCCAACTATCCCTAAAAAGAACCACTGTGGTATAGGCTCCACACCTTCGCATTTTTCGGGGGGGGGGGTTTCTTCTCTGACCTCACAGACAGCATCCAAGATAACTTGGATGTCTGATGACCCTGTTTGGTTGATGAATGGCCCCTGACTCAGGAGAAGCTTATAGCAGGTGGTTAATGAACAGATGATGGCAGGGCACGCAGAGTCTCCCAATAGTTCCTAGAACACTCCAATTTTCATGACAACAACAAAAAAAGAAGTCAGGAAGGTGGAGGTTACTACAGGCTTTGCTGCTGTCAGCTGAACGGTGGGACCTGGGGCGCCCATGGGAGCCCCTCAGCAGTAGCTGTCCCTTTGCACTTCCCCCCACAGTGATTGATTGAAAAGACTTTTTGTTTACAATCCCTCTCCATCCTCAGGTAAGAGATGTTTTGACTTTAGGTTACCCTACATTAGCCATCAGGCCCCTACGGTCCCTTTTCAATGCTGTTGTCTGCCAGAAGAAATGGCGAATAGTCCATCCCACGCCAAGAGTTCGTGACTGCAGCCGTGTAATCAGTGCCTCGGGCTCCTCCATCTGCTTATCTCACCCAGCACTAGATGATATTCTAGCACATGAATCCTCACCCACCTTGCACCAGATATTTATCAGACTGGATGATGCCCTTCATAATGCAGGCCTAGTTGTGGCCCACAAAAAAAGTGCAAACCATGGCCCCTTTTCCATATTTGAGTCACCTTACCCCCCAGAGACATAGTGTGCCCCGAACTGCTCAAGTCCAGGTTAATCATCTTGCAATCCTCACTGACTTTCAGACTCTCCCTGGAAATATTAATCAGCTCTGCCCAGCTCTTTAGCTACAATTCATGATTGAGTCTTCCCTTTGACATTCTCAAGTGGGACTGGCCCCCATCTCTCCAAAGCACTCACATTAGGGGCTAAAACTGCCTTGGACAAAGGTAATCTGGCTTTCTCTAATGCTCCACTCTCTTTTCCAAAGTTTTGAATTATTTTCTCAACTCATCATATGCCCCCTGGGGTCCTTGGGCAGCCTCAGGCCCTCTATGATGCTGGAGCAGGCCTGACTGCACATGGGTGGACTCGTGTTAAGCTTTTCGGACACGAGGTGCAAAATATCATTGTTCCTTTCTCTTCTGTTCGGCAACAGTGGTCACGGCAGTTCCCGTCCTTTTGGCAGGCTGCATCAGCTGACTTCCCTGGTGATGATGCTGTCATTACCCCCAGACAACTTAATTCAACTTGATTCCCTCACGCCCTTGTCTTTCCTTAGAAATGAGCTTGATTCTCACAGCAGGAGATACCTGTTTTCACAGATGGCTCGTATCCCGGCAGAAGAGGGTATATTACAGCCTTCTTCCTGAGTATAGGATACAGGTTTTTCTTCTGCACAAAAGACTGAATTGCAGGCTGTTAGATGGGCCTCACAAGATCGCTCATCCATCCCAACTAACCTTTCTTCAGACAGCACTTATTTTTGTGGTGTGATGCACCATATTAAAGCTGCCATCATTCATTTTCATTGGTTTCAAACTCTCCAAGTTGCTATTTGGTCATGTCATGTCCCCTGTTTTATTGGGGTTAATCCCTGACGAGTACATCCCAATCATCTCTAGGAAATGGACGTCACTCAGTCCTGAGTGGTTCTCTACACGGGTCCATGCTTCAGTGAATACTTCCTCAGGATTGATTTTTGTTTCGGCCCACTGGAGAAGTGGACAAACATGTCATAGCTCATTTCTTGGAAGCCGTTAGTATCCCTGGCTGTCCACAGGCACTTCAAACTGGCAGTGGCCCAGATTGTACAAGTGCTGCCTTCCAAACATTTTGTAAAACTTTTCACACTTCTCTTACCGCAGGAATTCCTTATAAGCCTCAAGGTAAAGTAATTGTTGAATGTGCTCACCAAACATTTAAAATTCAAATACAAAAACAAAAAAGAAAAATACTTCCCTACAAAATTCACATCTCATAACAGACTTCACTTGGCAGTACATACTGTTAACTTTTTAAATCCTACTAGGGATTAGGCCTATAGCAGCTGAAAGACAATTCAATTAGGAAAAGAAGTTAGAAAGGGTCTTTTGGAAAGATCTTCATATTGGACAAGGGAAGGGACCTAGTCCAGTGCTAATTTGGGGTTAAGGATATGCTTGTATCTTTCCAGAAAATGCTGAATGGCCGATCTGAATGCGAGAGGATGCTGTCTGACTGTATCATGACCCAGAAAAGGAGTAGGGTCTGCCTCTCAAGAAGCTGATGCTCAGTCCTGTGGCAGTGATGCCTTGGAGACTGCTCCATACCTTATAGAGAAAGATAGGGCTTGACCCAACTTAGGGCCAATTAAAGAAATAGACCCAGGATGCCAAAGACATGGGGACCAAAAATGGGAAAAGAAGATCTGAATAGGTGGCGGAGTGTACACAGACAACTGAGTTGGGGGGCTGCATAAAAGGGGTCATGAAAGTTGCCAATATCTTAAAATAAGATACAAAATTATCTATATCTAGATAAAAGCTTTGTTCCTTCCAAATTTTCTTGTAAAGGAGCTCTGCTAATTGACTTCCAAAAGATTCTGACAACTTTATAATTACATACTTCTAAAATTATAAAAGTTATTATAATTTGGCCAAAAATACATTTGAGTGCACTCAGACACTGTAAATAGATTGTCTTATA